CCACGGGAGGGAAAAAAAACACGTCTTTTGCGGGTGCTTCGTGCTTTTTCCCCCCGGTTTTCCGGCATCGCCTGATGCCCGATTCTATACCGCACCAACCCCGCAGCATGTTGCACAGCTCGTAGTACCGCGACTCTTTGATGTCCTGCGGGCAAAACGCCGAGCCAACCAAAAGTTCTTTCGGGCAGGTTCCAGGTGAGTGCAGGAATGCACAGGATCCTCTGCACCAGCTTCAAGGCCGGCAAATGTTGTCTAAAAACAAGCCCAGATGATAGGTATCACCCAGTGTTGGCAGTGTCTGGACCTCCCAAAGTGCCTGAAAGCTGCAGAGCTTCTTTGGAAACCCCGCTGAAAGAATCACATTCCTTTCGCTCCTCCAGGCCATCCACGATCTTCATGCAGCGCCACTTGCTCTGCAACACCGTGGAGATGGACTTCATGTGGTGGTGCCTGGCCCAACCACGTATGTGACTCAAAAATGGGGGGGGGATCTCTGAAATAGGTGTGGCACGAAAAGTGGATGGCTGGGGTCCCTTCCCTTCTAGGCCCTGCAAGCGGCACCAAGGCACACGCAATGTGCTTCAATGGATAAAAGTCTTCGCCTCCCAAGCTTCTTCTTCCTCTTGTTGTCGAGGCCGTGCGGGTTCTTGTTCGTGGACGACTTGCCGAAGAGCGGGCTGTAACTCAGTGTGTGAGGCGTGTGTGGACTGCCGAATCACGAGACCATGCCTGCCAGATTCAATGGGAAAGATTACCCTGGTTGTAACAATCATGGAAATTGCCAGGATTGCTTTGGAAGCCTACCATCCTCTTGAAAGGGCCCCAAGCTTCCACCATGATTGTGCGCACTACAAGCTCGCGTCTAAAATGTCACAATTAATCAACTAGGCGATGAATCCTGGTCAACATTCAAGTGCAATGCACACTGCTGCTCTCTGGGTTCACCCGACATGGAGCCCATTCGGGCTTTTCCGACGCCCTTGTTCTTCCAAAGCTTCTTACCTGCGCAAGCGGCAGGAACCGCAACGGCAAGCCTGCGACCGTTTTTAACCGCAGACCGTGAGCTCGATCACGGTTTGGCTGTGGGTCAAAAATAGGGTAACCCCACAATGGAGCCCTGGTAAATAGACACATCCACTGAACCTGCGGGTTTTGCTGGGGGGTTAATTCTGACCCATAACCGTTTCAGACAGCTGGCAATGAGAAGGGCATGCACATCTTCCATACGTTTCCCGGATATCCTCTCGCCTTTCTTCATGTCGCTTCGGCGTTTGTGGAACTCGGTGAAGGGAAGCTGCTGGTACTTCCAAATGGTGATGGCCTCACAGAGACTCTACCTCTCTTGGATGCGCCGTGGTTTTTCCTGCCGAAACCGCATGTGAGCCACAGCGTTCAATGCTGATTGTTCCGTGACAGTCTTGGTATTCCATGACAGTCTTGGTCTGCCTACTCCACGCTTTCTTACACTTCTCGGGATCAATGTGCAGGACGCAAAAACAACCTGGTGATGGGGACGGCGTCCTGCTTTCAGAAGCTTGAACTTTCGCTCTTTCAACACTTCAGCAAAGCGTGCCGCTCTTGGTCATCATTTCATGCCTAGGCATCATGGAATTGTGGTTCGCCAACCCTTGCAGCAGCCTCCAAGTGAAGGAAGTCGTACCCAGACATATGAGGAAGGGTTAAAGCTACTTGCCCCTTGCCAACCCTGGCTTTTGCGGGAACTTCAAGAGTCCCCCCATGCCCCAGGAAAAACAAAAAACAAAACCATAAACAACGCCAGCCTGGTGCACCACATAATTGGCAGTGAATGGATTGTAGACCTGGAATTGCAGCTCCTCCTCACCTTGCCGCTGGAAGCTGCAATCAAGGAGACCCTTTGGTGTTCACGGGCAGGGGGCCCCTTCGTTCTCTTCAACCCAGCCTGTTTTTGGACTCCGAGCTCTTGTTGGTCCAACAAAACTGGTTGGGTCCAAAAAAACCGGGCCCCTTTCTTGAGAAACGCACCTGACAGCCCAGCTCTGCAATTGCAAATTCTGCACGAATCACAATGTGGTAGGAAGAAGCAGCTGAGGGCATGACCTATCTTCTTTCCCTCCAGGTTGACAACCTTAGGGATCTCTGCCTATGCTACCTCGCAGCTGCTTCGCACCGACATTGAGAGAATGTTCAGCCCACGTGAAAAAAAATCGCTCAAATTGTGAGCCCCTAAAATCTTTGGTTCCCTGTCTGGTCAGCTGACGTGAAAAAAATCCGCCCTTCCCCCAGGCAAAAAGGCCGCGGCGGGGACGGTGTGCGGTTTCGGAATGGCGTTCCGCGCCGACCTCTGCGCCTCATGGCCGGGGTGAAAACGCGACAGCCGACGGCCGGCCTCCAAAGTCGGAAGGTACCCGTTTTGGATGGACTCAAGCCCAAGAGTTCCCGACATCTTCGGCAAACCGATGCCGATCCCAGGGGTCTCGTGACTCTGGCATTTGAATGCATCAAAAGCTAGTGATGGATG